ATAACACTTAAACGAAACATACTTTTTGAATATAAACAAGCCGAGATATAGAAAAATAGATATGTTAGTGTACATAACCGTATATGTTTTAAAATGTAACTATCGTTCTACATGTATGCATACATGCTACACCATTTTTTTAATTCTGAAGATTTATTGAGCTAGATAATAATCTGATTCGAACAATTAAGCGTTTGTATTTCACAAATATATTATATAACTGAAACTGTGTTAGTTAGAATAATAAAAATTTTATATATTATATAATTTACATTTTCCGTATATAATACTTCCTTATGAGAGTTTTAAAGCATCAAAGTTTAAGAATTTCTGCATGTTCAATAACCTACAGTAACCCAAACAAAATCTATCCCATTGGTTAGTTTGAGAGATTATACTGTTAAAATTCGCTGTTCGATCCCTGCGGTGGATTCAGTAAATGTAGTCCTTTGTGTAGCTTTGTGCTTAACGACAAAGAAAATGCTTAAACCAAACCTAGTAGACCAGAGGCAAAACAATGTGATCTTATTACTTTCCTCCACGAGTTCTCTTCGTTCTTTGACATGGAATTTATGAAATAACAGATATTGTTTATTGATGGTGTAGTTCATTGGATGATTCGGAACATAAAAGGCACGAGCAATAAAGACTGTCTCCTACTATAACCTATAATCAAAGTGCTAGTCACTATTCAAATGATTCAATCATATGTTTATTATCCAATTATTGAAGAGAATATTTATAAAAGTTTCCTACTAGCTACGGTGCTCGACTTGCAATCTGCAGGTCGCAGGATCGAAACCCGTCATCGAACATGCTCGCCGTTTTAGACATGTAGACTTTGTAATGTGACGGTCACTTTCACTATTTGTTGGTGAAGAGTACTTCAAGAGTTGGTGGTGTTGACTTGCTGCTTTCCTTGTAGTCTATCATATCAAAAGTAGGGACGGATAACGCAAATAGCCGTCGAGTAGCTTTATGAAAAATTCGACAAAGAAGCTTTCATACTAAAAATAAAAGCATCAGTCGACCAGCAAAAAATAATAAATGCAGCCAACAGCTAATTATTTCAAATAGAAAAACTTAACTAGAGCTCAGATTAAACTTTTCTTATATGATGTTTACTATGGGGTAAGTAGGATCGTCTGGCGGTTTGTAGAAAACATCAACTAATTACCCAGCCAGATAAAAAAAGAGGTTCTTGTAAAAAAAAATTAATATTGTAGCACATAATTTATAATGGCCTGAAAAATGCATTGTTAAAGTTGAGTATGATTTAATTATTTTTCTATAATAATTCCGTTATTTGCAATTATAAATATAAATTCAATTTATAAGTAATTAGAAAATTCTCTGTATCACCATGGTGACCCCCAGTAGAACAGCGGTAAGTCTGAAGACTTATAACGCTAAAACACACAAACAAATTTCGATAGCTCTAGTTATGAAAATTTACAAGAAATAAAAGATCAAAGAATTGCAAGACATGTGTAATGGTGTTAGAGTTTTTCATAACAAATATATATACATATGCATTTAGCAAATTTAAATGTAGACTATTGTAAATAATCATAAGATTCTCACTGACATCATTGCCTAATCTGAACGCCTTTTCATGTTAGAAAGGCGTTGCTGTTCTTTTAATTAAGCGCAAATCTATACAATGGGTTATCTGCAATCTATTCACCACACTGAATAGATCCTAATATTTTAGCATATTAAGTTCGAAAACATATTGTTGTGCAACCGGGGCACATCAGGATGGCAAATTGATTGGAACATGAACAATGTTAGAAATAGATATTACAAACTTGGGAAATAACAGCACCAGATAAGAATCACTTACAGAAAAAATAAAAATAAAATACGTGTGGGAAGTTATACGCGACCTATTTTTTATCGTTAGCACAAACACATATACATATGTATGAAAATATTGGCTAAGTAGTTTTCAGTTTTCTTCAAAAACTGATAACAAGAGAAGATTTGTTCAACCAACTGAGTCAATAGTGAATCCTCAGATGCTTGATGATTAGGCATCGAGAACAAATTGGGTATCGTATGACACAGCTTTTGGGTTCTGAAGGATCGGTTGTATCGCAGTAAAGCTTAGAATAATTTTTATTTCAGCACACAACGCTTCTATAGCTCTATATATCTTAGATAATTTATTTTCTGAAGTAATTTTCTTATTAATAGGATTTTGTTGTTTTGTATTTTAGTCTTAAAACGACTCATTAACAGAGTTTAAATGCATGGAAAACTTATAATATCTATCTATCTAACTGTGTTTGCATTACCAAACGTAATTATCTTCTTCAATAAAAATCCCGCGTATTCATATAATCTTGAAACTTATAAAATTATATCTCTGTTTAATGTTATATTAACAGTATTTTGTTTGTTTATTGTTAAACACAAAGCTCAAAATCTGGTTTTTAGCGTGATAATATTTCAGACTTACCATTGAGTCACTAGGGAGAGGGCAACATTAGAGGAGTAAGTGTGTTTGTTTGAAGTTAAGCACAAAGCTATGCAATCGACTACCGTAGAAGTAAGTCGTGTAATTCTTGAAAATGGTTAACTCAGAGACTGCAGATTTTGGTTAAAAAAGAAAAGCTACATGCCAAATAAGGGAGTATTACTAATATTTTAGTAATGAGGCCTGGAAAGCTCAATTGCCTTCTAAAGGTTTTATTATTATTTTAGTTAGTTTTCTAAATTTTATAAATCGATTCAATTTCGCGTTTATCATAAGTAAATTAAATCTATATCCGTGCATTTTGCATGGTTAAAAATAAATATCGCGGCTTACGTCCATTAATTCTAGTTCCTTTGGCACTCAAAGACTGAAAATGGAAGCGAAGTGAGTGTTTTATATAAATACCACCTGAGAATGTTGCGACTCACTCTACCATTAACTTCCCATACGCATGATTAAGCCAAACTAGAGTTTATACTTGTCTCAATAACGCATACGTGTTAATCTTCTGTTATATTTCCGTATCAACGGAGGGCAGGAGGTAGATGATGTTACTTTTAATAATAATTAGATTTTCGTAAGCTTCAACTTGACGACCTGTAATAATAAAGATTTTTTGGAATTAAAAAGTGAAAACAGATTTTTTATAATAATTACTCAAGTGAACACGTTTTATTTTATCTGTTTCTTTAAGGCTTAATTTGTCCTTCTTTTTTCCAGTAACGTTATTAAAATATAATAACTTATTTATAGTGGCCCAAGAGTCCTTTTCTCTCACCCTTTTTGCCAATCCACAAATTTCATTGATTTTTCATATTTTAAAATAAGAAATAAAAATATGCCACAAAGAAAGAGAAATCATCGGAAGAGTTTCCAATGACACGTTATTCCAAATGAAGCGAATCTAAAGCTGTTCAAGTCGTTGGCAGTTCTATTAACCGGAAACAAATGTGCGGTTATATAATTTGACGAAAGATGGGTGTAGCGTATCAGACCTGCCAGTTTAATCAAGAAAGAAAGACAAATAAACTTGGTGTTTAATTTAAACAGAGAGTGAGGAAATGAGTCGACGTTTATAAATATCCGTATATACTGCCTCTAAGTTTCTAGCTTAATATATAGCTATGATGTTCGTTTTCGTTTAACTTGCGGATGTTTTAGTAAGCTCTTCTATAAGTGTTCATCTCATAATTTGTATATTGACAATAAGTGTTCCGTATAATTATCAGTAGTAAGTTGTTTAAATAAGTCCATTCTTCGCTTGAATAAGTTTCTCCTTCCATGAATCAGTGTTGCAGCTTTTTTTTAAAATTCTGTATTATAACTTAATATTATCCGCAAACTTACCGTTCTTCCTATATAATCACCTGGATACTGCATCGTGAAATCAAAAGAACTACGGTAGCGTAGTATGATTACCTGGATACTGCATCATGAAATCAAAAGTAACCACAGTAATGTAATATAATCACCTGGACACTGCGCCGAGAAGTCAAACGTAATTACAGTTGCCTAATATAATCAACTAGACATTGCCCAGTGAAATAAAATGTAATAATAATGGTCTAATTTAATAGCCTGGACATTGCATCGTGAGGCCAAAAATAATTACGGTAACGTAGTATAATAATCTGAACACCATTTCGTGAGATCAAAAGGAACAACGGTTGCGTAATATAATCACCTGGAGACCAATAGTAGTTGCGATAACGTAATATAATAAACAAATAAGCAAGTTAATTAGGTGACCACCTAAACAAAATGATGTTTCTCGTGACTTTGACATCTGACCTCACTGGGTTGAAACTTTTCTGCTTTACAAAAAAGAAAAACATTTAATTCGTGTGTTTTTGTTGTTCCTTTTTTACCTCCAGACAAAAGGTTAAGGAACTTAAAAGGCGGTAAGTCGGAACATATTAGTCAATAATAAATAGCTCAATTCGCACATGTCACAAACTTCTAACATAAATTTACGATTGATTTATGAGTACACTACAAAGTTGATATTTCGGACAATATTGTCTATTTTATAAAACGCTATTCTCATTGGTATTCTGCACAGAATAACTTAAAAAACAAACATTTCTGCAGTAGGTTATTGAACAGCCCTAGCCATCAAACTGCATAAGAATGGTATTTATTTACACGAAGCTTATTTGTAATAGTTGGTTATATTTGTTTAGACCAATGTTTTAATGATGGATGTCGAATATGGATCACTCATCTGTTTCACGCTTGTTATATAAAAAAATATGAAACACTGAGAAGTAAATGCATTTGCCTTCAGTATATTTTTTATAAATTAAAAATAAGTAAACGGACATAAGAACGCTTTTAAATGAGCAACTTATATACAAATGTAACTAAAACAAGAAACTCGAAACCAAAACTTTAAACTAATTATTAGTAGATAGACGTCTTGGATCCTTGGTTTATCTGTGCGTTGTAGTCACCCATAAGTTATTGATTCGTTTACTGTAACCTGTTTTATGTTACAAACTTTTCTTTGTTGATCTTTCACAAGCCTCATTAAGCTTTTATAATTCGCTCTGAATTTTCATGTTGACGCATGCACGTTTATGTTAGACATGAGACACTAAAAACTGTAAAACCACCAGCTTTACAATATGGAGCGATATGCTTAACGTGTTTTTTTGTACAAAGTAGTGATTTATCAAATGCTTTTCTTCAATAATGTTTATTTTCACTCTAAAATTAAACTAAGGCATAGTAGATTTACTAACCAGTGTCTATTAAAGCTATTTATAAGCAATTTACATCTTCAATTTCTAAAAACACTGTTATTTCCAAAGTTGTCCAAAAAACTCGATTCGCATTTGATTTGTTGAGTTGCTATTTACTTGAACAATGTTGTTCTTAGATAGAGGTGTATATTCTATGTGCATGTTAATAATATAGAAGCTATTTCTATGTTTCAAAGTAAATATTCTTATACTACATCATAAATTATACAATAACACAATTTCATTGCACTTTGATTTTAGCTGTAATTTAAATCGTATGCCTATTTTTTGCTTCTCCACACTTTAGCATAAATAGCATGCTCAACTGTAAAACTTTGTTTCTCTTATATTTATTAATTTCCTTAGGATTCTAAAAGAAGTCAACTTGAGGTTGTGAAAATAAAAACGATGACTGAGCTGCAGAAGGCAACAAAGAATATGACAGAGGATCCTGCGTGGCTGTGAGAAAAGTCAGCGGAGAGCCATGGAGCAGTCCCGCCACCGTTGGATGTTGATGTGGCGAAATACCCCGATAAGCGGTGAGCAGGCCAGTATTAGAGGGCGTGGGAGGAATTTTGAGGCTACTTGTATTCATACCTGGGTTTTGTTTCTTCCACTTCGTTCGGCGGTTTTGAAACCAGATTTTTACTTGAGTTTCGGTGAGCCTGAGTGAAAGGGCCAAATTAAGCCGTTCACAAACCGACAAGTAACGTGTATTTTTGAATTTGTTCTCTAATGTCACCAGTTGCTCGTAAGTAAAGGCGGTTCTCGCTCGTCTAGGTTTATTGTCAAGCTCCGATTTCTTCTTCTTTGAAGATTTTGAGTTTACAATGGGTGATTTTTCGTTAATTGCAAGGCTATATAGTTCAGGTTTTATGTTTACATTCCTTGTTTTATGGTATGTTTTTATCGAACATACTTCAGAAACAACTGGTGTGTCTTGTGCTTTATTGATATCACCTGTACGAAATGAAAGGTAAAAGACCACTGAAAAGATTTGCAAAGACAAGTCAAACACTAAAAGAAATATCCAAGATGAAAAAATAAAATAAACTATATGAAAAAGTCATAATCTGAAGACAACATGAAATTGTAAAACAATTTATACTTTACAAAATTTATTGATAATTTGAATACAATTTTAAAACTGTAAAATATTTTAGAAATAGATATACACGTAACATTATGACCATTATTGGTATATTAACTAAATAATATACAGTATTACTTCCCGTAACACCTTCATTATCATTGTTATTCTAACTAAAGGTACTCCATTTAAAGATACATCACCAGGTATCTTAATATAATGTAATAATTATTGTTTTTACAATAAATATATTTCCATTTAAATTTAAGAGACAACGCAATGTTAATCACTGTAATTAACTTGTAATCATTGCAGTAGGTACGAAAATAAACTTCTGTTTAAAGAGACAACACAATATTTGTTCTTGCAATTAAATGGCAATCGTTGATTAATATAAAAAGGCGAAAATAAAATTCAAATAGTGACAGTTACATCATGTTAAGTAAGTTAATAAGCAGAACGTTTTCATGGTTATTGTACCCAGACTGTGAATAATTGTTTACGTCATGTTGCCGCAAAAACATGCCCTGTATCTAAAGAAAAATATAAGAATTACATCATTTCTAAGTAAATAACTAAAACACAATGCTGCAATAATTATATCTTAATCAAACTAAAACACATAGAAAGTAAAAGAGTAACAAACAAAAATACAGTATATAATACAAAATGTGCTATTCAAAAGAAGACTGCATCCTTTACAAGGCCAACATGGATCTGAAATTTCTAATTAAAGAAACAAGATTAGCCTAAAAACTGGCTGTTGACCATAGCTGTCTTCCCTCTGGTTTGTCAGTTCAAATATTAGGGTCGGCTATGTTTTCGTTACTTTCTGGGGAAATTCTAAACAAATAACCTTTAAGCTCTACATAATTTGAATATGCGCCTATTTTTGATACATTTAAAATGTTTATATTTAATCATAATTCTCTCATTTTTTCTCAGGTAAATTGTTTGTTGTTAAACGCACAGTTGCACAATGTACAATCTGCGCTGTATCCATGATAGAGATCAAACCCTGATTTTTAAAGTTATAAGCCTTCAAGTCGCCGAGAGGGAAAGAATGGTAAACACATATTTCAAAACTTCAACTCATGACGTCAGTAGTGATATGTAATAACTTAACGTTCCCGAGATAATTTTACCAACTTTTTTAGTTCAGTGTTCAAATTTATCACACACACACACATATATATGTATATGTTTAGCCATGTTTTTAAAATTAGACCATCATTCTAGTAATTAACGCAAACATAACTACAAACGAATGATCCGTTCTGTGGTAAACACATTGATCAATTGTGTGATCTAGGCTTTGTACAATGTATAAATTAACAAAACTGACATTTGTTGTTTCTTTTGTCTTATAACCTATACATATTATTTTTGGGTTTGGGAAGATTTTGTAAAATTGTTGTAAACGTTTTGACAACAGTGTTACATATTGCAATTTCGAATGGTCTGAAACCGAGCTAAATGATATTTTAAATTTAGTAATTAAATATATCTCCAATTTATGATATTTGCCAAAAAGATTGATATATACAGTTTTCTTCTTTTTTTTAATACAAATATATTTTAATAAACAAACAGTAATACAGTTTACATAACAGTTTTTACAAATAGCTATTACAAACAATGATTTATATACAAAAGTTTTATAAACTTACAAGCA